AACGCAGAACATGGCAAGTGGTGCTTAACTCTGAGATGGGCTACCCTATCCACGGCAGTTGCTCTCCAGGTTTTGGTTTCCACTCTTCCATTGAGTTCTGCATCAGTTTTGTGTGTTAAAATGTAAAAGCATCATCTGTACTACTGAATGCATCTATGTCTAAAATAGGAATTGTTAAATGGCCCTTTCATACTTTCTCCATGAATGCAAATATTTGAGGCCTATACCGCTTTCCCCAGTACAGTAAAACCTTGGATTGTGAGCATAATTCGTTCCAGAAACATGCTTGTAATTCAAAGCACTCGTATGTCAAAGCGAATTTCCCCATAAGGTTCAATGTAAATAATGTTAATCTGTTCTGTAACTTATTATTTTTAATCAAAAAACTTGAAGAAGGCACGCTGCGGGGAGGAAGGCACAATCGCAGGCATGCTTGGTGCGGGGAGATGATGCTGTACTTGAACCTGCAGCAAGAGAGAGAAGAACCGGTGCTCAGTTGTGACGTGGCACTTGGCTGGCAAACCACGCATAATATTCGTACCTCAAGACATTGCTCGTTTATCAAGTTAAAATTAAGAAAAACCTTTTGCTCGTCTTGCAAAACACTGGCAGACCAAGTTACTCCCAATCCAAGCTTTTACTGTATATGGTTTTGTCCTGGGAGTGAGAGTGCTGCCCCCTCTAATGGTCTTCATGGCAAATGCACAGTTATTTAGAATGGTCCATTACATTTCCGGAAACACAGTTGCGAATGCCATGGTTGTGGCAGAAGACTTTTCTGGAGTTTCCACCGGTACTACATAAATGATTAGCAGCCCACGAAAGAGCCATTCCAAAGGGCATGCAAAGGGATCTTGCAAAAGGTGGGATGAGGATGATGGGCTTGTGCAGCATCTTTACAAAATGTGGAGTAGGTCAAGGTTTGATAGGAAAGGTTTTGGCCATTCTGTTCTGCTTGTTTTGTACCATGATGTCACAGTTCCAGAATGGCATTCCCAGACCCAGATGGTTGGTGGAGACACAGCTACGCACAGCAGTTTTGAACTCCAGCTCCAAACATTCATGCCCATTGCCTTTTTCTAGGTTCCAATGGGCAGGCACCACCTACAGCTGAAAGTTAGTGGCGACCCTGTCTTCCCCTGGAAAGATGAAGCAATTTTGACTTGCAGTGGCAGGAGATCTTAAAGTGCCATGCAGAGGTGCTCTTCCCCACCAGTCCCCAACCCCCCCCCCCCACCAGTCGCAGTCCCAAGTGCAGAGTGCCTTAGGCAGGGTCTTGATCAATCCAGTTGTCTGATGCCAGCTCAAGAAAGCTAGCCAACTAAGTCACATCCGGAATTCCCTCTGTCTAGTCCACCTTCCCCGAAGGTGGAGCTAACTCCACCTTGGTAGGGAGTGAGAAGGCGGAGGCAGATTCATTCTGCAGTCACCTGCTTGCATGAGCAGCATTCAATGCACAATTAGCAACTTCATGAACCTGGTGAATGTTCCTTGCTCAAAAAACCAGTCTTGGCTGGTAAGGGGAAAGAAAGAAAAGAAAGACGACTGCAGTTTGAAGCCTGTTTTTGTTATCTGCTGGGAAAAGAAAAGGGGAGAAGCTGAAGAAGGCAGATAGGCACTGCCTTATGTTGTAGGAGTGGAGCTGCCTGTCCCAAGACTTGACTTGCCTTCTGCATGGCAGAGCCCCTATAAGGGAGGAGAGAGGAGGTTTTTGTCGCACTTCCCCATCAGATAACCCCACTGTGGAATCTGGAAATTTCTGCCACGTCCATGCTCCGTTGCACAGTAATAATCAGCCTCATCCTCAGGCTGGACTCCCGAGATGGTCAAAAGGCCACTGTTGGTGGAGGCGTCTTTGTAGCCAGAGAAGTGAACGGGGACCCCCGAGCCTTGGTGCTTGCTGGAGTCAGAGTAATACTGCAAGAGGAAACTTGGGGAACTGTCAGGAGTCTGCTGGTACCAGGATACAGCATAGTTACTGATGCTGACTCTGCTGCTGAAGGCGCAGGAGAGTCTCACAGTGTTTTCTGTGGACACGGATGCGGAAGGAGGATGAGTGAACACCGGCTGGGAGCGGGAACCTGGGAGAAGAGAAGGGGAGAGAGTGTCACATCAGCACCAGGCTCCAGACTCATCTGAAAGTTGGGAAGGCTGGAGGATATGGAGCCTGCCCTACCAGCGTCCCTCATCAGTAGGAGGATGAGAACGGGAGCCCAGAACATGATGGCGAGGTCCAAGTACCAAGCAACACGGGAAGGAAGACTCAAGCACTGCTGGTCCCTACAGGAATCTCCTTCTATATCAGCCCTCTGAGCTCATGGATGGGGCATATTGGTTCGACCTGCATGTAAATCAGCTTCCATCTCATTGGTCCTGCTACTCATGGGGCCAGCAAATGGGGCTTTGATTCCTTGACTTTGCAATGGGTGCCTCCATCTTCCTGGCCTGAAGCCCAACTGAAGTGCTCTGCAGAAGTCTTTCTCTGTGCTGATGAAGTGGTGGTCACCTGAGTCTGCAAACCCTTCTCCAGCCCTACTGCACAACAGAAATGAATTTTCACAGATTCATTCCTTCATTTCATTAATAAATTTGTATTCTTGCTGCCTGTTAGCATAACACATTCTAGGGAAACCGCTTTTTTCTACCTCTGGAAAATGGCTTCCATTATATTTCCTGGTTTCAGGGCCATTTATACCTAAAATCTGTGCCTTTGGCTTTCCTTGCATACTGTTCTTCTCCTCTTCCTGTGCTGCAGTATTTCAATACTTCCCTCCCTTCTGAATAGTAGAATTTCTAAGCAATTGTATTCAGAAGTGCAGCTTTCTGGGCTAAGGCTGCCCTCTGCTGGCTGCACTTGTGGACGCAGGTGCAGTTCAGGGCCTGCAGGGTTTCCCTTCCTTCCTTCCTTCCTCATCCCCTGAAGCAAAGCAGACAGTTCAAGGGAGGCACAGCCCTTTTTATGCAGCAATCAGCTCAAAGACAATTTCTAAATGTGCAGAATGACTGCAGTTCTCCTTTCTTGGCAGGGGCAGACCAGGAGAGTCTCCCTCTCCCCCTGGGAAGGCAGATGCTCTCACACAACTTCCCAGCCCAAGTGTAGGGTAGCCGTCTCCATACTGTGGACGAGCAGAAGTAGTTCCACACGTCGAGTGCTTCTGGTAATGTAGATTTCAATGCCATATGAGAAGGTTTTCGTCCTCACTTCTGTTATCCCTTCAAGTATCAGTTCATCATATTGTATCTCCACGGTCTTCCCTCAGAGAAACTCAAGTTAGCTTACAGAATTCCTCACTGCAGACGGCAACAGCATTGAGCCTAGACATGGTTCAGAGGGCATCGTGGTAGCCCCCAAAGAAAGCATGCAACATCCTGACTAACTGCAGCAGAAGGCAGGGTCTGCCCAAACAGAGAAACTGGCATGACAGTGATCCCACCTATCATCTCTTGGGCAAGGGTCTCCTGAGCACCACCTGGGATGCTTCTCCTTCTCCTGAGTTGCCCTTGCCCAGTTTGCTCAGGCTTCGTGCTTGTATGTCCAGAAAAGGAGGTGCAAAATGCCTTCCCAGAGGCAATGCCACCTTCATCTGGCTTGAGGAAATGGCCTTGGAGTGGGAATGGATGTCGAAAGAAATCATCCCCAGGGTGAACCTCTCCGATGGTTCCCGCATTGCATAAAGGGTGAGCGCAGGCCGTGCGGGCGAAGAGGAGAGGAGGTTTTTGTCGCACTTCCCCATCAGAGCGCATCACTGTGCCAACTGCCAGCTGCTGCCACTGCCATGAGCTGCTGCACAGTAATAATCGGCCTCGTCCTCTGCCAGGACTCCAGAGATGGTCAAAATGCCACTGTTGGTGGAGGTGTCCTTGGAGCCAGAGAAGCGAGTGGGGACCCCCGAGCCTTGTCCCTTGCTCGAGTCTGAGTAATACCACAAGAGGAATCGTGGGGGGCTGCCGGGCTTCTGCTGGAACCAGTTCACATAGTAGTTGCTGACGCTGACTCCGCTGCTGAAGGCGCAGGAGAGCCTCACGGTGTTTCCCAGGGACACGGATGCGGACGGAGGCTGAGTGAGCACCGGCTGGGAGTGGGAACCTGGGAGAAGAGAAGGGGAGAGAGCGTCACCTCAGCACCAGCCTCAGACTCGTCTCAGTGGGAAGGCTGGGGGATATGGAGCCTGCCCCCACCTGTGCCCCACATCACTAGGAGGCTGAGAACGGGAGCCCAGAACATGGCGGAGAGGTCCGAGTCCCCAACTAAATGAGAAGGAAGCCCTGAGCACTGCCGCTTCCTTCAGCCGCTTCCATTTATCTCGGTCCTCTGAGCTGATGGGCGGGACGTCATCGTTCCCCCTGCATGCAAATCAGCTCCCATCTCATGGGTTCTGCTGCTCACGCAGCTTCAATCCTTCAGCTTTGCAACATGTCCTCCCATCCCACCCTCCATGCTTGTAGACACATGAACGGGCTTTGGACTCTGCTGAGGTGCTTTGCAGAAGTCTTTCTCTGTGTCCATGAATAAGAGTCCATCTGAATCTGCGAACCCTTCTTGAGCCCTGTCACTCAATAGGAAGCAAACTTTATATGTACGCATGCATTTTTCCTTCAAGCTTTTGCATACCATCCACTACCAATCAGCCTCAGGATGGTCTGACAATAAAGCCAAAAAAGCAGAGCATCCGTTTTATATATCCCCTCTCAGGAATATGACTTCCATTTGATTTCCTGCGTGAGTTTC